TCACGAAGTCTTGCTGCCTAATTAACACCCCCGCACCTACTGGTTGACGTTGAGTGCGACAGCGATATTTCCCATCTAGCCTAGAAGGATTATGACCAACAGAATGCGCCGCCACGGGTGAATTCCGTTACTAAATCAGGCAGCGGCGATCCTGGCCAGAAGCGTTCCCACGAACAAATGGTCGGCAGCTTGAAGACGTAATTTCAACCACCTCGCGGAGAAGCTGCTGTCAGACTAACCGCTGTTGGTAAAGTGACTTAAGCTATCTACACCCTGCAACAGTGCCGATGCTGGTTAGATGAAAGATGACCACAGTCCTAGCAAGTGAATGTACTTAAATTATCATTTCTTTCAATTGAATTTACTTCATGAATCTTGCCGGGATAGTTCGATGTAAGCAGGTCCCTCGAGACAACTCCAGATCGCGGTGCGTTATGTATAACTAACTTCAGAGGACTCTGGGACGCACTAGGCTAATCGCTGAGGTTTAGAAACAAAGTTGGAATTATCAAAAACGCCATGGGCTTCCCGGTCCCTTTCACTCAGTAAGTCCATCCCAAGACTTGCTAAAATTTCGGAGGCCAGCGAAGGACTGCGTAGAGCTATGACATTTAAGTGGGCCCTAGGTCTATAGCCAAAAACAAAACACTGGGTACAGCGTAAGGTAGTTATAGTATAAAACACTGTTTTCCAAAAACGATATGTTTCCCAGACCTGTATTGACCTACTGTCGTGAACTTCGAATCACTAAAAAGGCCTACGGCAACTGTACGAAAATTCGATGGGAATTGAAGGGGATGGCAGGCGAGACTTCCGCCCATGTAGGCTCTTACAATTACGGCGAACGACCAGTGGACACTTAGTCCTCACTTTAGCATAATAACTTCACAGCAAGTCCTTGACCAAGGTCCCGACTTAGCTGTTGCCACTAGAAGAGCCAGGCTGCTTGCACCCAGGTCAACTGATGGATCGCTCTATCTGGGTTGCCGGTATTTGCTATTTACCAGGGCGATGGTCGCTCCCAGGGAAGGAATGCTTGAAGAACTCAGAACTCAGAAGCTGGTAGACTACAAACCCTCACCGTGCAAGCTTTTAAGGACGCCACGCACCACCCAACTTCCACGTCGAATCTATCCCTTCCAGTTCCGCAAGAATGTGGTGGGGTCAGTAATTGGAGCTATCTATCAGACATTCGGAAAACGGTTTAACTGTCGCTTCCATATCGATGATAGATGAAGAATTTGACAGAACCCATCCGGGTTGGCCATGTACCCACCACACGAACAGCCATTTGGATGAAACCTGACCGGCAAGTACTATATCTGCCCAATCAGGTGGCAGGCCAAACTGTTTCGTTGTGCATCTCTCGACGGGATTCAGACTAAAAGGGGTTCAGATTCAATCCCTCAGATCTTAGTTTCACACCATTAGCCGCTCGACCAGACACGTACCAAATGTCCGAACCTGCGGTTCCTCTCGTACCAGACAGGATTACCATTGCAACGACCTGATTGTACTTCACTGTTTACAAGGTTCAACCATCAGTGGGGTAAAACTAACCTTTCTCACGACGGTCTAAGCCCAGCCCATATTCCCCATTTGTGGTAGGATGAGCTGACAACGAAGGATCAAAAAGCGATGGCCCTCATAACTTTTTTGGCACCTCTTGCCTCAAACTCTGAATACTGGCTGATCAAAAGGATCGCCAGTACACGCTTTCACGGTCTGCATTCGTACTGAAAATCAAGTAAGTCCTAGCCCTTTTACTTTATGCCAGGTTTCTTTCCTAACTGAGCTCACCTTGGGACAACTGCGTTAAGATTTTACAGATATACCGCCCCAGTTGAACTCCACACCCGATAGTCTTCGGATCAGGTCACACGTCACAAAACCGGCCTGACAGCACCAAGATCGAACACACGCGCTCGCCGTCCACCAGCTGGCTGCAACCTAGCGGCAACAACCTACAGCGCAAAGCGCACACATCTCTAGCCCTGGCCAGACAGTTGCGACCAGGGCGCCGGTACGCCAGCCGCACAGTGAGACCAACGCACCAAGATATTCCTAGTTTTAACATGGAAAATAACTGACAGTTCCTGCTTCACTGAATAAGCTAAGAAACGGGTCATCGTTCGTACAGCTCGAAAGTTCATCTCTCATCCGCGCCCAAAAGATCACGTGCCAGACGCCTCAATGTCGCAAAAATCCGGCGACCCAGCACCGCCGAGGCCTTGAGCAGAGAAATCCAGTCCCATTTTACGAGCCGACCCGACGAAGGATACAGCAACTAGTGGTCGTCACTTAGAACACTAGTTTATGGGACAGGTGAGGAAATTGTTGGATATACCCAGCGACGCTGCAGCCACCAGTGGAGGAACCCTACAGCTATCTGCTCAGACGACCCGAGCCAGGCTCCTTCCGCTAACTTCGATAGATGATGGCAGTCGGTTAGAGGCGACCGCAAGAAATAATGTGCTGGAAATTACCAACCTGTCCGCTAAGTTAGTGTAGGCCCTCTGTACTGAGTGACTCTGTTCACGACCTGAATGGCGGCTTTACTGCTGGCAACTCGCCAAAGGTCGGGCGCTGGCGTTACCACTTCTGACACCATCTCAACTTCAATATCCAACGCACCACGCCCTTGCTCTCCTCTGCAGCGGAGTCTCCTTCCCCTCCAACCTATGCAGCGTCATATGATCCTCCTTCTGAAGGAGAAGTTGCCGGTGCCATAAAAGGACTAAGCGACAAGGCACCCGAAGAGGACAGTATACCAGCTGAAACCTACAAGTCTTCTGTCGACACTGGCGCCCTGGCTCCGTGGTGATTGAACAAGCGTGTAGAAACGAGGCTGCTTCTGATAACTGGGGCTCAGGCATCTTTGTACCTCCGTCAAGGGGGAAGGTAAGACGAGATGCGATAACTACCAAGGCATATGACCCATCGACGTTGCTGGGGAGATCTTCGTTATTGCCCTTCTTCGGCGAATCCAGGCTATGCGTGACTCTAGGAGGCCCAACCACGCCGGATTCCGTGGATGTGCGGACCAGGTGCTCACACTGAGGCGCATTCTTGAATTCGCCCCTAGCTACCCACAACCGACGGCCGTCCGTCTTGTCTTTGCTGCCGCGTTTGATCCCGTCCAATTTGAGTCCCTGTGGCGGATAATAGCACTAGATGTAACGCCTATTATCGCTGCACCGCCGAGCGAGTTCTTGTTCATAACATTCCTAACCATTCGGTATTCGACAAGGTTGTATCCTGTCGTTCATTCCGTCCAACTGTGCTATTTACTGGATTCTCGGGAATGCCCTACATAAAGATGACGATGTTCAGTTTGCACCATGACACCGGCCAACTTATCTCCAGTCTACGGTTTCTCGAGTGAACGAGGTCGTTAAATCGGTTGATTTAACCATGAACGCTAGGAAGACCAGTATTTTCAAGCTGCATCCCTGACCGGGAGACGGTACCTCTCAAGATTGACGACTGTCAACATGGAGTAGACAGTCTTTCAATACCTCGGGTGAGGCTGCTGCCGAATGGACAGAGTAAGGGCGAATTAGTGCTACCGGCTGCCTTTCCTCAGGCCTTCGAAAACACCTATTGATCCGACGCGACATCTTGAGATTTGTGTGTAGCGTGCATCCGTCCGGCCCGTCCTCTATGGTTGTGAATGGTTGGCTGTGCGCGTGGAGTACGAGCGAAAACTGAATTTGGCCACCACTGCTCGAGGACCATCTTTTGAGTGAAGTACACCAACTCCGTCTCAAATGAGATAGTCTGCACTCGCTGTGGCATCGCAAGAATAATTCAGGCCATCCAAGAAAGATGACTGACGTAAACTGGCGCGTCCTTCATCGTCCACGTCAGTAGCTCAGTGTTATTGGTCCTCGATCCGGCACCTTTACCCTATCGGAGGCGTCGAAGGAGTAAACCCAAAACCTGGCTCGACACAGTTCGGCATGAAATAGAAGTAGTTTTAGGAGCTCCGGTATTCGGTCTCCGTCGTTGGCGAAGAGAACGGGTTGGACTGTCCACACCTGTTGCCGCGGATCGCCGCGCGTGGAGGTACATTACGGGACATCATCAAAGCCGGGTAGGCCAGGCATGTTCGCAGCCGTACCAAGTAATAACAGCAAACCAGTCGACGATTCTAGAAAAACGAGATAGTAGTGTACAACTGTACATGATCCATCGTAGCTGTCATAGCACGCGCTTACCTGCGACTCCTGCAGCTTCATAAACTTGAAACAGACGGCACATCCAGGATCTTACCTGAACACCGAACGGGGGCCTATAAACTGGCCGCAGATAATCGGCCCTCCGTACAAACCGACTCAGTAGGTCCTCAGCCGGGTCCGCTCCCCAACTTGCTACTGTTGTTTGATGGTCCCTCAAGCCCCGTCAGCTGCCACAAGCTAGTAGGCCTATCGGTACAGTCCATATATTCTACGGTCCACATGACAAATCCCCCCCCCCTCTTCCAACATTGAAAACTGATCTAAACGAGCGCCTATACTTCTACTCTCGGTATGTGCCATCAGAAAATATGTATGCCTAATTAACCGATGGCAAATCCCCAATAACGTAAAAAAACATATCAATCAATCCGCAAAAACTATACCTTGAAGGTCGGTAAGGTGTAGTACGAAAAGAGATGAGCAAGGGCTAAATGCCGAGAACCTGATTCCCTAGTAAGTCATGAGCCTGACAGTGCCCGAGAGATGCTACAGTAGGCATATTCGACTCTACAAATTCGAAATTTTTAGTTCTACTCTTTAGACAAAATGACTTAAATTTACGCGCCTCGCGCAGGACCATTTGTGAACAGTCATACTGCCAGGCAAATAGTAAACATGGACCTGGGCGAAAGGACTTCACGATCATGGTGGGTATCGGGTCAGGCCACGGGAACCCGAAAATGAAAGCTTGTGCAAATCTAACCGACCTGGTGAGAATTTAAGAAACCAAGGGCCAGTACCGTTCAAATCTGTATTTGCTTATTCCTTATCAGACTTGGCGACAGTAGATCTGGTACCACGAATTCTGCCTGTTCGTCTGGCAGCAATAAGACCAACCTTCCGGCCGTGGGAAGCGTCACGTCTGATAGTGGATGGTTTACCAATATGCTGGTGATTACCACCACCGTGGGGATGTTCAACAGGCTGAAAGAAATGATTTGGATATCAGTGAATGAAAATTCAAGCACTCTCAATGAATACATGAAACCCGGTACAAACTTACGTTCATTGCAACACCGCGAACGTGAGGCCAGCAATTCCGCTTTGCCTTGTACTTGTGATAAGCACGGCCAGCCTTGAGGATGGGCTTGTCGATTCGGCCACCACCAGCTACCAAACCCACCATTGCACGACAACCCGAGGATAGGACCTTCTTGGCTCCAGAAGGTAGCTTCACCCGCGTCTTCTTAGTATCGTGGTTGTGCGAGACAACTGTTGCGTAGGTGCCACCGGCACGGGCAAGGCGGCCTCTATCGCCGTTCTTTTCCTCAAGATTGCAGATGACCGTACCTTCTGGCATAGATGACAGGGGAAGAACGTTGCCAATCTAATTATAATAAGACCATAATCCCAGACGCACCTGCAGTGGGGCCTTGCTACCGCAGTACAGGAACTGGCCGGTGTGAATGCCCTCAGCGGCGATAAACAGTTGCTTGATGTGCTTGTAGGAATAGGTATCTCGGAAATCTACTCGGGCAAGAGGAGCACCACGACCTGGGTCGTGAAGGATTTCGCGAACAACGCCACGGATATAGCCGTGTCGTTCAGCGTAATCCACGGGCCTCAGACGGGCCGCTCCCTTCCTGTGTTTGACATGAGCCCTGAAAACGCTTCCCGCACCTTTACGTTGGCTTCTGATGACGCGACCCATCTATATTAAGCAAAACTACAAGTAACAAGGACCAAGTCAACTCACGTCGCAGATTGAAACCCAACAGAAAACAAAGTGCGGATTTAAACAAGGACGGAGTTTTTGAAAGGTACACGACAAAAGTGGAACTCATGGAGACAAATGGTATGCAGGTGCCTGAGCATTTACACGCCTATTCAGCGCAAACAGAGCATCGAGCAGCCTACGACTATGACAAGGAATGGACAATGGAGCCGGAAGTACTAGACGAATGTCGGAGGGCAAGACTCACAGTGATCGAAAGCGTCAAACTCAAAATCCCTGAATTTGAGTCCGGGCTTGTAAAACTCTAAAAAGTATGCCGATCTCAACGAGAATGTTTAATGGCTAAAAATCAAAGCAAAACAGTGACGCCTTTAGACAAATTCCGGAATTATTAACTCTGGGCTCTATACCCAGCTAAACGCATGAGGCTTTTCTCATCCGCAGCTGACGAAATTTCGGCCTAACAAAAAAGCAGGAAGGGAAGCTGATCTCCTTTTATTGAATTTCGCAACCTGTTAGATTTATTTTAGAATGGTAAGCCATTCATGTACGCTGATGAAATTTGCACATCGATTGAAGTCGACAGATCCTGACGTGGTACTTGAACTCCTAAAAAGTGACCTACAGGCCTCTGCCCAACGGTGCCGCACTTGCCGCCCTTCTCTTGCTCGGCGTAAGTGCTTAGTTATGGTGGGTGGTAATGACCGCCGAACCCAACTAAGTTTTGACGGTCGCGAAGTTATTAAGGATCAGGGTGTATCATATTCCAAGAGTCCTAGTCTTTCGGAACTCTCCGACATGATAGTCGCCAAAGCACACGGAACGACTGGGTTTGTCTCCAGGATTTTAAAACTAGAGATATTAAAACGCGCCTTAATTAACTAAAAGTTGGACAGGCCCTGGAATACTGTTCGTTTTTATTTGACCTCATGATTGCTGCCGAGCGGAAGAAAATATAATCCATCCAACACTTTTTTACCAAAGGAGTTTTGACCTTGGAAAGTCGGAATTCGTCTTGCCAAGGAGGTTTAGGGGTTTACGGGTCTTGATCTTTTCTGTGAACACAGTAGCAATTTTGAAGATATTTTCCAGAAAAGTGAGGATTCTGAAAAAGTATTCTTTGTTTGTGAGAAGTGTTACTCGATTTTCGAATACAGAAAAACCACCACAAATGCGGGGTGCTGGATCCGCCGATCTAATCTACCGTAGCGATGGAGTTCGTGGTCTCGGAATACCCTGGCCGGTCTCACCACCTGAGAAATAGTTCTGACTACAACCCGAAACTCTAGGGACAATTTCTTCAGTCAACAGCGTGCAATTGTTCTTCAATGCCTTTGTTTGATCCAGACCCAATTTCATGAAAAGGAATGGAAAATGAAAATATCCGAAGCAATGTTACCCATTTCTTTCCGGACTGCCGTCATTTAACTGGCTGCAGTTTTGCTCCTGAACCATCAAAACTATACAAAAACGCCAGCATTATCTTTACTACTCAGGAGTTTCTTCACTGCCAACTCGATTCGTGCTCTATCTTTCTTTGAAATTGCCTGTAAACTGGCACTAAATGCTATTATTCTTATTATCTGTTAAGCGTTCATGACAGTCCCTTAATCTGCGTTTAATTAACAAATCATACTGTTTCAAGTTTGGAAAAGCCCATTGATTTTTGCAAGAAAAAGTTTGGTTTAAGCAAATCCGTACGTTTCCAGTTTGAACAGATGGCAGCTAGCTGGCACATAACGTCTCTTAATCCGGCGACTGAAAGCTTGCTTTTCATGAGACATGTAGGCTTACGTACCTTTTTGATAATAATAATTTATTTAATGCCAGTTTACAAGCATTGTCAAGCGAAGCGATTAAACACAAATCCGACCAGCAGTGAAAAAAATACCTGAGGTAAAGAAATAAAAATATAGTTGATGGTGGTTTTCATGGTTTGGAGGGTTCAGGAGAACAAACTGCTGATGGTAGATTTTCGACCGTCAAGAAGGGGGAGGGGGGGATTGCACGGTATCGGAGATTATTCGACGTAATTTCCTTTCATGAAGTTGGGGATAATCGGAGAAGGGGCGTTGAGGAACAGCTGTCCCTGTTGGCCAACGAAATTGTCTATGTTGGGACAGGCCATAGTGCTCAGAGACCACAAACGCCATCGCTAAGGTAGAGTTGATCAGTGGATTCAGCACCCAACATTTGCGGGAGCTTTTCTGAATGCAAAAATCGAGAAATAGCTCTCTTAAATAAAGAATAATTTTGCAGAGTTTTCACACTCATTGGTAGTTTATTCCAAATAGCAATTGCATTTACAGAATAGAACCGACGACATTTAACAGTACGTGCCAGAGGCAGAAATAAGAAGACCTCAAGGTGACTGTTACGTCGTGGGTGGATATGATGTCTTAAAGAAGTGAGTGGATTAAATGTGTGATTATATAAAAGTTTAAATAGCAAAAATAGTCCCTTTTGTAATCTACGGAACCATAAAGGATCAAGGCCCGTAAGCCGGCAACGTTCTCGGTAAGACAAATGTCGGTGTTCCGGGGTTAAAACTCTCTTGGTAAAAAAAGTGTTGAACGGATTCTATTTTCTTCCGCTCAGTAGTACGCATGAGGTTAAATAAAAACGAACCGTATTCCAGACCAGGTCTAACGTACATGCTGTAAAGGCGCATTCTAATGTCCCTAGTTTTAAAGTTTCGGAGGATAAACCCGGTCGTTCTACGTGCTTTGGAGACTATCAAGGTACAGTGCCCCGAGAGATTGAGACTGTTGGATGATGATACGCCCAGATCCTTAATAACCCCAGGCACATTTATGGCGTGACCTTCAATACTTAGTTGAGGTTGGCGGTCGTCGCCAACCACCATGACTGAGCAATTATGCCAAGAAAGAGAAAGGTGCCATGTTCGGCACCACTGGGCGAAAGCCTGTAGGCCGATCTTTAGGAGCTCAAGCACGATGTCATGATCTGCCGGCCCATATCGATATGCAACTTTAAGATCATCGGCATACATGAAAGGCTTACCATTCTGAAATAGATCGGGTACATCATTAACGAAAAGGCAAAATAAAAGCGGGCCGAGTACAATGCCCTGAATGAATCCACTCCTCACACGTGTGGGGTTGGAGATGGTATTGGAAATCTTAACTCGTTGTGTACGAGTGCCGAGGTTAGAGGATATAAAATTCAAAAGTTTGCCACCTATGCCGAAAGAGGACAGTCTCAAGAGAAGAAGAGCATGGTCAACACGGTCAAAAGCCTTAATGAAATCTATATATACTGTGTAAAGTGCAAAACCATTGTCCCTAGATTGGAGAACATAGTCAAAGAAAGAGAGTTGACAGGTGTCACAAGATCGAGCTTTGAGGAATCCATGCTGAGCAGCACTCAGTAAATTATTCACGGTTAAGTGACACATCATCTTCTCTTTGATCAATGACTCTAAGATCTTCGAAACTGCGGGGAGGGTGTTTATTGGCCAAAAGTCATCAAATGATGTAGATTTGCCGTGCTTAGGAATGGGCAAAATGTGTGATTCCTTTCACAAGGTAGGATAAGTTTCACTTTCAAGAGCAAGATTAGATATCTTGCATAAGAGGGATGGTAAAATCGTATTTGCATTGGCTTTTAAAATACTTACTGGGACACCATCACTTCCTGGACTAGAAGATTGACGAAAACGCCGAATCGCAACAGTCACATCCACAGAGTGAAAGTTATAGTTTCTAGAACTGCCCTGGTCAAATACTGGATGGTCGGAAGCTGAGTGGTCGATAGTCTCAAGGTGATCTGCATTTTTTGACTTCTTAGGACTATACTCTCATCTAGATTTCGGTTTTCTGGACGTTCTTTTTTCCTGTCGGCGTGGAGAATTTGGTTCGCCTTAGTAATCGTTTTTCCCCGTGGGTTTGCAACTGAACTTCCATTGAAAGATCCAATCTCATTCTGGCTGCTTCTCGGCCTTCAACTTTCTGGGATTTTCCATATATACTAACAGCTGACGCCTTTCGATATTTACTTCATACACTTGGCCTGAGTACATACTTTGTCTCATGCCTTTCATAACGTTCTGCAATTTCCTTAATTATATGTAGAAATCGACCATATGCTCTCAGGGGATAACGTAAAACTTGCATCGCGAATCGATTTCGGAACTAGCTGGAGTTCTGCAACATTACCTTCGCTCGACAGTGAAGACTAAAAAAAGAACGAAATAAGCGTTCTGTGTTCTTACAATGGCCGCAATACTGTGCATTTTTCCATCAAATGGCAGATTCCCCTTTCACCCCAAAAATGCCATCTGCTGATCTCTGGTCCACAAAAACTTCCCCCATAATTTTCGAGGATAATGAAATAACAGAGGCCCAATCGGTTAAAGATTTAGGTCTCAGCTATACAATTACCCTTTATTTATCTTCCCACGTTTAACAAATATCACCGAAAGCCACTCGCCTGTGTGGATTCATATGTAAAAATTTCACCATAAATGCGCTAAGAATACAGCTTTTCAAAATTTACTTTTTACCTCTCCTAGATTATTGCTCCATTTTCTTCGGTATAATGCCCCCAGACGGCCGAAAGAAAATAGAAGGCATTCAGAGACGTTTTACTAGAGGTTTGTTTAGAAGTGTTGACACCCAGGGTTCATACATAGAACTATATCATAAATACGGTGTTCGAACCCTCTGGACCAGAAGACTCCAAAATGGTCTAAACTTCTAAGTTAAGGTCAGCCATGACCGAGATATTCTCAAAATGTATTTACTAACATACCAAAACGCCCCCAGAAACATCAGAAATAACGAAGATATTATAAGGATCCCCAAATTCACTGTCCCAACGGTCGAATTTCTACACCATAAGATATGCCACTCTCTGGAATGCTCTCCCAAGTTCTATCCGGAAAAGTCAAACCCTGATCGAGTTTAAAATAAAAACTAAGAAATTCCTTTCAAAAAGCAATACGCATTTATTTTGGATCAAGATACGACACTTTTGAAGTCAATTCTTTGGTACAGACTTTGGTCCGAAAGGGCTCTGATGATGCCAACCGCTTGAATAATACCGGACCATAGCACTAAAAACAATCAAATTTATGAAAGATAGCAT